ATATACATAACACACATAATCAGTTTTGTTCAACTGCAAGCTTCATGGACATCTTGAATCTTCTGATCTCCTTAAACAGCAATTGACACCAACAGTATTTTAGCGATGGCTCTCCAGTCCTTTCTGTATTCCTGCTCAGCAATGAATTGTGCCCATTTAGAGATAGACAAAGTCCTCGTTTGGAAAAGGTGTGCACAAAAGACTTTTTCCTAGAGATGAGAAGCTATTACACTGCTACCATGAATTTGTTTCATCTGAATAGTAAACGCTAAAAGCCAAAGCTACTCATTTAAAAAGTCATTAACATTTTGCATATGCATTCATCTACAATTAGCATTAGTATTGAGCCCGCTGGGAGTTTTCCCACAATTGCATCAATTTCCGATAGATATTTGCATCTCAAGCAAGTCCTCTCAATTTTCGCATATCGGGATAATATTTACTTATGCAAAAAAATAAATAAATAATAAAAAATCTGTGTGCGCATAATAGTATATATATGCACTGTGCATGTTTCAATAAACTAATTTAAAAAAAAACGTCCATTTATATTACATAAGTAAAATCAACTGAAATGGGAATGCATCAGCCTGCTGACAGTAGTCTAATAGACCTAGAAGACAGGTATGACACATATAAATGGGGCAAGTATGCCGTAATTAGATAGTAAGGAATTATTACTTCATTAAAAACCCTGATTAACACATCACATTAGTAGTCACCATTATTGGAATCACAGACACAATTGACCACACGTAAGCTCATATGTGTAGGTGACTGTTTAGTAGGGTTTAAGGCACCCAGGGCAATGAAGGGTCTCTGCAACCTTGCTGTAGTCACAACAGTACAGGGAGCCCCACTATTAACCTTTTCATAGCCAAACTGGGGTGCTAGCAACTGTCAGATTCCTGCGGATTGGATTAGGTTTAGTTATAAATACACAGTGGGGAGAATAAAAAAAAAATTACAATATTTCTTAAAATTCTAAACTTCGGTGGAATTTCTTGAATGTGCTATAGTATGACTGTTAACAGAGTTTTAGTAGGGTTAAATAAAAGAGAGAGAGAGA